GGAGCTCAGTTTCTATTCATTGGGTAAACTGTCCGTCAGCTTGAGAGTACCTTCATGTCATATTCCTTTTTAGCCCAGATGACCATTGAGCTGACCATTGTCTTATAATAGCTATAGAACAGGCCGTGCTGTGAAATCCCAGATGCCTCCCTTCATGTTGATATAGTTAGAAAGTTTATGGTCTGAAAAAATCTGTGTGTTTTAAACCCCAGAGGGCAGGTGTATTAACAGACTACAGAATTTTCAAATAAATGAAGAATTCCATTACCTCACTATTGCTGTTGATGAATTGGCCTCCTATGACACTTAAGCATCAAAATACATTGCGTCTTTTCAGGTGAGAGGCTGGCAAGAACAATTTAATTAACTTTTAGAAAAGTCTTATAAAGAAGGTGCTGTAAAACGTTCCTCAGTGCGTTTCTACTTTGAAATATGCTCTCTATTGTATACTGTAGTCCAGTCTTTTTCATTATTGTCTCAAAGTCTTATATTTGGGTTCAGAGGCTAAAAATTAGAATGAAAATATCAATAAATCTGCTTGAGATCAGCGATGAAGCTGCATGCTCGGGGTCCTGAGATGCTCGGTGGTTAAGGGAGGTACTGCTCAGGGGTCTGGAGATGCTCAGTGGTTAAGGGAGATACTGCTCGGGGTCCAGAGATGCTCAGTGGTTAAGGGAGGTATTGCTCGGGGTCCAGAGATGCTCGGTGGTTAAGGGAGATACTCCTCGGGGTCTAGAGATGCTTGGTAGTTAAGGGAGGTACTGCTCAGGGTCCAGAGATGCTCGGTGGTTGAGATACTGCTTGGGGTCCAGAGATGCTCGGTGGTTACGGGAGATACTGCTCGGGGTCCAGAGATGCTCAGTGGTTAAGGGAGATGCTCCTCGGGGTCTAGAGATGCTCAGTGGTTAAGGGAGATACTCCTTGGGGTCTGGAGATGCTCGGTGGTTAAGGGAGGTACTGCTCAGGGGTCTGGAGATGCTCAGTGGTTAAGGGAGGTACTGCTCGGGGTCCAGAGATGCTCAGTGGTTAAGGGAGGTACTGCTCGGGGTCTGGAGATGCTCAGTGGTTAAGGGAGGTACTGCTCGGGGTCCAGAGATGCTCGGTGGTTAAGGGAGATACTCCTCGGGGTCTAGAGATGCTTGGTAGTTAAGGGAGGTACTGCTCAGGGTCCAGAGATGCTCGGTGGTTGAGATACTGCTTGGGGTCCAGAGATGCTCGGTGGTTAAGGGAGGTACTGCTCGGGGTCTGGAGATGCTCCGTGGTTAAGGGAGATACTGCTCAGGGTCCAGAGATGCTCGGTGGTTAACAGGGAGGTACTGCTCGGGGTCTGGAGATGCTCGGTGGTTAAGGGAGGTACTGCTCGGGATCTGGAGATGCTCGGTGGTTAAGGGAGCTACAACTTTTACAAAGGACCTGAATTTGTTTCCCAGCACTCAACTTGGGCTGCTCACAACTGCCTATAGATAATATTAAAATAAGCATCATGTTCACCAAACATTTATTCTCCTTATGTGAACAAGCCAGTTTTCTACATTTTGAAGTTGTCTTTTCAAAGACTTAAATCTTTAGGTACTTCCCTGCTGGGCAGGCCCTCAGGGTTCTTTGGTAAGTACTTTTACTGATGATCCACTTTGCCAGCCTCCTTGCTCATCTTTTTTCTCTTCCTCATCTTCTTAATTTTGATTTTATTTTTAATTGGCCCATTGTTATTACATATTTATAGATTATACAATATTTTGACACGTACATACATCGTGTTATAATCAAACCAGGGTCATTAACGTACCCATCATCTCATATCGTTTCTGTTAAGTAAGAATATTTAAAATTCTTTCTTCTAGCCACTTTCTAATATATGATATTATTGTTCTTAGTCTCCCTGCTGTGCAGTGGAACAGAACTTACTCTTTAATATGACTGCAACCTCGTCTCTTTAGGTCTGATGCTCAAGATTAGAACCAGTAGATGCTGCTATTCCAAGCAGATTTAGAGTCTTGCTTTGCACATGGAGACATATTTCAGTTGTATCTAAAAGCACACTCATTTGGGGTCAGCATCATTATCCTCTTGACCTGCATTGACCATGTTCTATTGCCTTCATTTTTAAAGGCTTTTTATGTTGGTGGGTGTGATTCGTATATTATGGACCTCTGGAGTTTTGTCTCCTGGACTCCAGTGAATTTTTAAAAATTTTTTTTTCCTATTCCAATTCTTGTAAGGTGCAGCCCATTGAGACAGACTTGTGGAGGTATTTTTGGTTCATGGTTGGGTCATGTAGCATATTTGTTCTCTTGCCCAGCTTGTCATCTGCCCATTTGATAAGTATGTTTTCTTTTTCCAGTTTAGTCATTCACAGAGATGTTGAGGCAAGTCAGATAGAATCATTCCATTGTTGCTTGTAGATTCTTCTTTTACAGAGGAACGTAGTGAGACAGGGTCCTGCTCTGTGGCTTGAGCTGGCCTTGTATTTGCAATCCCCTTGCCTCTCTCCTGTGTACTGGATGTGCATCTGTGTGTCCTCATAGTCTGCTCTAAACAGAAACCTATTCACTGACTTTCTTTTCTTTTCTTTAAGACAGGATCTTGATCTGTAGACTAGGCTGGCCTTGAACTTACAGAGATTCTCTGCTGGGACTTAAGACAGATGCCACTACTCCTGGCTAGTTTTTTTTCCTAAAGATTTATTTGTGTGTGTGTGTGTCCAAGGAAGCCAGAAGAGGGCGTAAGATCCCTTGGAGCTACAGTTACAGGCCACTGTGAGCCACTCAACGTTGGCAGGCAGATCTCTGTGAGTTTGAGGCCAGCCTGGTCTGTGAGAGCTAGTTTCAGGACAAGCGAGAGTGCTTACACAGAGAAACGCTATCTCAGAAAACCAAAATAAATAATTAAGTAAGTAAAAGAATAGCATTAGGAACCACTTTGAAAAATCAGTTAGTAACTTTGGTTATATTCTTTTGTATAATTAAATATAATATTTTTAAAATACTTTTATTTTTAATTATGTATATGCATGTGCATCTGTGTGTGGATTTGTACATGTGAGTGTTGGTATATGAGAAAGCCAGAAGCCTCAGATCCCCTGGAGCTTGAATTATAAGTAGTTGTGATGTGGGTGCTGGGAACCAAACTTGGGTCCTCTGGAAGAGTAGTATGTGCTCTTAACCATTGAACCATCTCTCCTAACTCCTAAATAAAATATTTTTAAATTAGTAAAAATAGCACAATTCTTGCTGGGTGTGGTGGTGTTCACCTTTAGTCCTAGCACTCAGGAGGCAGAGGCAGGTTGGTCTTTTGAGTTTGAGGCCTGCCTGGTCTATAGAATGAGTTTGGGAGAGTCAGAGCTACATACTGAGACCCTGTCTCAAAACAACAACAGTAACAAAACAAATAAACAAAAACAAACTTGATCTTTGCCTTCAATGGAATTTACATCTAGTGGGAGAACAATTTGATAATTATAAAAATGTTGGTCAGGCGGTGGTGGCGCACACCTTTAATCCCAGCACTTGGGAGGCAGAGGCAGGTGGATCTCTGTGAGTTCGAGACCAGCCTGGTCTATGTGATTGTAGTATTCTCAGTGATCTATACGCCAAACAGATATTAGTCAAGAAAAGTAAAAGGCAAGCTGCAAATGTAACAGAAAATTTTCCACATTTCTAGTTATATTTTAAAGTAAAAACACGTGAAAGTGGTTTTGAAAAGAATGTTAATTTTTAATATGTGGGGTATGTATGTATGTGGGAGGGTGGTAGGGGGTGCAGGTGGTACATGTACTATGTGGGAGGGCAGATGAAGATGTTATGTTTCTATTGTTCTGTACCTGAAGCTCACTGTTTGGGCTAAGTTGGCTGACCAGGAAACTCTCAGGAGCCACCTGTTTCCAGCCCCCAGTTACGTCCATGTCCACCTGTCTCCAACCTCCAATGTTACAGTTACAGGCATACCCACCTGTCTCCAACCTCCAATGTTACAGTTACAGGCATACCCACCTGTCTCCAACCTCCAATGTTACAGTTACAGGCACGTCCACCTGTCTCTAGCCCCCAGTGTTACAGCCACAGCCATGCCCACCTATGTCCAGCCCCTAATGTGACAGTTACAGGGATGCCCAACCACATGTTTCCTTTTATGTGGGTGCTGGGATTATAATTCCACTCTTTATGTTTGTAGATCAAGTGCTCTTACCTACCAAGCCATCTCCCAACCCCTGAAATTAATCAGTAATAGTTATTATTTAAATGTATATGAAAACAAATTCAATGTGACAGCAATATTTGAAATGTGATTCTTTTCCTTACTATATCTTTGAAATCCTTGGAGTAACCATATTTAAAGTAGTTACTAGTAGCTAGTGGCTACTATACTGACCGGAAAATTCTTTTGCCCATGTTGAAAAAATTCTATAGTAGCGAACAATAATTCTCAATTGAATGGAGAATTCAGGCTTGATTATCTTCTAACAACCACCTATGATTTCTTCCATGTGTGAGGGAGGCTTTCGAGGTATCCCTGTCTTCATGGTTCATAGCGCTTACATTATCTTATGTAATATCCAGGAAGGATCCAATTATAATATGCAAGGTTTTATTATTATTATTATTATTATTATTATTATTATTATTTGTTTTTGTTTTTTTCTTGAGACAGAGTTTCTCTGTGTAGCCCCATCTGTCCTGGAACTAGCTATGTAGACCAGGCTGTCCTGGAACTCACAGAGGTCCACCTGCCTCTGCTTCCTGAGTACTGGGATTAAAGGTGTGTGCCACCACTGCCCAGAGCAAGCTTTTTTCAACTGCACACTTCAGATGGAATATATATATATATATATATATATATATATATATGTATATATATATATATATAGTGCTGTGATACAGCTGTGTTAGAGACCATGAAGTCACTCCTGAATGCTGACTCGGTGTGCGGTGCTAAAATCCCTCTTCTGTGAGCTATGCAATAGAAATGCGCTCCTCCAGTGACTCTCTTTTGCTTCCACTCAGGATGTGTCTGGTCCGAATGAAGCAGGAAGGCCGCACTGGAAAATACATGTGCCGGATCATAGTTCACTTTATGTGGGAAGACGTGGAGCAGCGAGGCAGAGTGATGGGGGTAAGCTTGGCTGCAGAGGCCAGTGCTGGACAGCCGTGATGAAAGAATGTCTGTGCTGAGTCTGAGCGCTCTCTTCAGGATGGCTCTGCTTTGAGATCTCTGTGCCGTGTTGCCTAATGTCAACAAGGCAGTTGAGCTTTGGTCTCTTTTTTTGCCTCTTGGGAGCCTGACATACCATGGATACTTGATGAGTCTGTGCACATTACTGTGGTTGGTTGGTATGAGGATGTCTTGTATACAGAAGAAGATAGGATATGGTGATAGGGAGGGTGGGATGGGGAAACAGATGTTAGTCTAGTTTAAGGATGCTCGCTGTCTTTGCCATTATTTCAGTGTTGAGTTAGTTCCCTTTTTAAGTTCTTTGGTTGATTGCTTGATTGGTTTTGATTTTTTGAGACCTGGACTCCTGTATGCTGGCCATGGATTTGCTGTATAGTGAAGGGTGGCTTTGAACTCCTGATCCTCCTGCCCCCACTTCCTAAATGCTAGGATTATAAACTTGCACCACCATACCTGACTCTCTCAGTTAGTCCTTAGGGGAAGATCTGGTATGGGGCCTGTGGTCCTAGGAACTAAAGAAAACTTTGGTCACTGGCAATCTAGAAGATTGTGGGAAAATACCCATTGAAAATAAATCTCTTAGTAAATTCAGTAATTAGCCTGAGAGAGGAGAATATAGAACTTAACATTTGTGTGCATGTGTGTGTGTGTGTATGTGTGTGTGCGTGTGCATGTGTGTGTGTGTAAAATGACTGATACCTTTAGAAAATATGTGGTACTTGGTTTTAGGCGTGTGTGTGTTTTATTATCCATGATCTCATTGTTTATGTACTCTCATGCATCTCTCTCTTTGCCCAGCATTGTTTTGGAAGTCTTTCCCTGCTGCACGGGTGTTCGGTCACAGCTGACCTTTATTGTGCCCGTTGTCACACACTCTTACGCTATTGTCTCAACCCCATGTACTTTTTCTTTGTGTTAAATTGCAATCTTTGAGACTTATACCTTGTATGTAGGTGATGGCTTCCTTTTGGGATCCTGGGTTGAGGGTTTTCTTAGGTCTTTGAAGTAACTGTTGTGTAGGACGCACCGTAAACATGGGTTTGCCTTTAAGTATCTTTATGGACATTTACATGACACCCTGTGGGGACAGTATGACATTGGCATTTCTGCTCATTCTGAGAAAATGAAACATCAGTTGTACGTTTTATCATCCCGTCTTGAAGTCATGAGCTCTCTCTCTTTCATGTGTATATATTCCTGGGTGAATGTATGTGTGCCACATAGATGCAGGAGCCCAAGGTAGTCAGACGAGAGTGCCGGACCCCCTAATGCCTTTAATTACACAGTTGTGAGCCACTCTGTGGGTGCTGGGAACTAAACCCAGGTACTCTTCAAGAACAAGTGGTGCTCTTAACCACTGAGCCATCCCTCGGGTGCCTTACTGAGCTGTTTTTGTGGCTGTCCTCCTTGGATCTTGTTTCCTTTCTCCCACCGTCGTGCCTGCTGGCTTTCTTTGCAGTTGAGAGGGCGGTCAGCAGACTAAGCGACTCATTCAGCTGGATTTTCTACGTTCTCAAGTGTTTACTACTCAGTTCTGTGGCAGCACACATTGGACTTAGGCTGGAGTTGGCATCTCAACCCACCCTCTTAGTGATGGCCAGTAATACCCTCTGGCTAGCCAAAGCCTGCGCAGACTGCCAGGTGTTGCTTTAGCCTTAGTGGCTCTTCCATTACATGAACCTGTTTGGCTTATCTCTTGTTGACTGATCTCTGCTGGCAGTGGGGCCACTAGAACCATGTGAGCCACAGCTGTCCTGTCCTAAATAGCCTAATAATCCAGAAATCGCTGACTTCTGGACCACAGGAATTTTTTAATTACACCCGCTCCCACTGATTTTTCTCGTCCATACATAACAGCAGCTGGCACTTTGCGCCTGCTCCGTGTGCTTTGTGTGTAATCTCCCTCCTCCTCCATCGTAAGCTTTGTGAAAGCAGGAAACTGTCTTATTCTATTTTTGGTGACATCAAATGGATAAGTAGGATGAGTTGAATGGGAGCATAAAGTAAACTTCAGCTTCTGCTATATTCTGTTTGTTTGTTTGTTTGTTTGAGACAAGTTCTCCTTAGATAACTCTAACTGGCCTAGAACTTACTATGTAGACCAGGCTGGCCTCTTAACTTGTAGAGATTCACCTATGTTGCCTCTCAAGTGCTGGGATTAAAGGTGTGCAGCATGATGCTAGTATACCCTGTTTTAAGGTAACTTATTAGATAAATAGTACTTGATTCATTCCTCTCTGGTACAGTCTTACAGGAGTCTTTTAATTTTTTCTCCTCTGTTTGTGCGTTTGGATTGTTGTAGATGGTGTGCCATCCTCTAAGGTGGTGTAGATGGTGTGCCATCCTCTAAGGTGGTGTAGATGGTGTGCCATCCTCTAAGGTGGTGTAGATGGTGTGCCATCCTATCCTCTAAGGTGGTGTAGATGGTGTGCCATCCTCTAAGGTGGTGTAGATGGTGTGCCATCCTCTAAGGTGGTGTAGATGGTGTGCCATCCTCTAAGGTGGTGTAGATGGTGTGCCATCCTCGAAGGTGGTGTAGCGTACCTACAGTTGATCTGGTGACCTTGAAAGAGTACACTTGTGATTCAGTGAGTTTCTGACAGGGACAGGGACTCTGCTTTTCCTCCTTCCTTACCTCCCTCCATTTCTTCTTTCCTTTCTCTCTGTCTCTCTTTTCTGGAGCATCCCAGGCTGGCCTTGAACTCACTGTGTAACCCATTATGACCTTTAACCTCCCAGATGCTGAGATTGTAGGTGTGCACCATTATCCCGTTTTTCTTTGTGCTGGGAATGAACCCAGGGTGTTAGACAAGCACTCCTCAGCTGAGCTGTGTCCTCGGTCCTGAGAAGTTTTCCTCTCTCGTCTCTTTCCCCACAGGATCTCGTGTAACCCAGACTGACCTTGACCTCACTGTATAGCCAAGGATGACCTTGGATCTCTGGTCATCCTCGTTTTGCTTCCATATCCCAAGTTCTGGGATTCCAGGTATCCACCACCACATCCAGTTCAGGGTGTCTACTCTTCCAACAACTTCCAGGTTATGCCTGTGTTAATAGGGCTGTCAGTGTCGGTGGTTCCCCTAATATAGGCTCCTAAATTGCCTTCAAGTAGAGAAATGCCCAAGCTCTGGCTTAGTTACAAAACTATAAATGAAAGATGGTGTTTTAAAAATAGAAATTTAGAAGAATTGGGTAATTACTGTTGTTGCTTTTTATTATATTTGACACTCTCCTTCCTAACTTGGTGGTGTAAACAGGCAGCTTTTCTATAGGAAAGGCAGTGTGTATTGACCCCATGTGTTTTGAGAGTGTGCAGGTATGGGGGCTCTCAGTTTTAGCGTACAGCCTCAGCACTGGGACACGTGGCTTGGGAAAGGCAGTAGATGGCATGGATAGAGCCTGGCCTGGTTCTCCCGCAGTGGACCAGTCTTGACTTCCCGCGCTCCAGTGGACACAGAAGCAGGTCCAAGGCGCTGACTGCATGGCTGCCGAGTTTCTTTTCAGCTTTGAAAAACATCCAAATTTGAAGGTGGTAATTTGCAAATCTTTCTGTGTTATTTGGCGTTCCAGGTATACCTCTGTAAGGAAAGTCACAGAAAAAAGTAAAAGCCAGTCAATGTTGTGGTGGTTTTTCTCATGCCAAAGAATTCTTAGAAGCCATTACTTTGAGTGGATGGGTGTGGCAAAGATCGAGAGCCAAAAGTGTCTCTTGCAAACTGATGACGAGTCAGAAATTTTAATCAAGAATTCCTTTGAAACTAGAATTCCAATCAAGAGCTCATTTGGTATTGGAGTTCTGGTCTCATACAAGGGGAAATTTTGCCTTTCATCGGCTTCTCAGAGCCCAGCTGTGGTGGCACACGGCACAGACGCGTGTGTCATTGGTGCAGCCAGGACAAAAAGCAACTATTAAATTTGAGGTTACAAAAATCACATCGATAATTTAGTGTTCCGACTTTTTAAAAGGAAAAAAAAGCACCAATATTTCAATATTTGGGATTTAAACATATAAATTAGCTGTGGAAATAGAGTTCATTATCCCACCTCATCTGGTCTTGTTTTATTTCATTAACTGGTTCTTAAAAACCTTTGTGGGCCGAGCTGCAGCTGAGGAGCTGGAGACCATTTCTCGTTGGGCCCTCGCCCGCTCCTGAGTGTTGGGAGGAGAACCAGGACTTGACACAGCTGTAAAAACAGACAGCCCTTTGGCCTCAGTGCTTTCTCCTGCTGCAGGCGGATTTCAGAGGTAAATTTCGCCCTTGCCTCTCCTACTAATGAAGTCGTTTCTTTTGCCGGGTCCGCACCAGGTGTGTCCAGTCTTGGGGCTAACTGGGTGCTTTACTGAAATTTTCCATTTGTGACATTTCAACCAAACTTCAAAAACAAACAAGAATTAGCTCAAGGCAGTGGCTCAGAGTGTTAATGGTAACCTTAGGCTGGTGAAATGACTTCCTGTCATTTCTGCTCTGCCAGCCATGCCTCCTTATGGCTTACAATGAGCAGGTTTACACTTTCCAGGCCAAGGTGGGAAGAGGCGGGGATAGGCTGTAGTTAAGGAATTAGTTCATTCTCATCAGTGGCCCCTACACTCAGGTCGTCCCAGGAAGGCTTCGATAGATGTCTTCTTGCCAGTGGTATTCCAAAGTAGGAAGGAACCTCCTTTCGCTACCGGGTCCTCTGCTCTCGTGGTACAGAGGGGAGAGCTGGTAGAGAGCCCTGGCACACACTGCTCTCTTCTGCTTTGCTCATCAGTCCCAGCGTCCTGCATTGCAAAGTCCTCTCTGTGTCTACTGCTCCACTCACTCCCTGCGGTGTTTTTGCACCTTAAGTGCGGGAAGCTTCTAGCACACATGCCTGGCATTTCCTGAGCACTCAGTGAGACTCACATTCCATTCTTGTAGTTCCTGTCTTGTGTCTTCTCTCCATTCGGTGTGGACACT